CCCCCCCCTGTCTCTCATAACTACTTTGTTTAGTCTAAATTTGTCTGGTGTATGGTAATTGTTAATTGAGAAATGTAAGAGGAGCTCGAGCTGGTATGATTATATTTAGATTTTGCAGCTTTTATATTTCTCACACCTGATGTTTGCTTTGCTGATTTTTTTCTCACCAGCCGGACGCTGGGGATAAAATAATATTCGCTATAGTATGAAATTTCATGGTTCCTCAATAGACTTAACGTTGTTGACGATGCTCATGTCTCAATTATTTTTTTGAGCACTTGTAAAAATAATTATTTTGTTTTTGTGTTGATGAATTAACTAACTAAACCGCACATGAACACACGAATGACGTTACAGTACTGCTGTAAGCCTTTTTTTTTTAAATTTTGGTGCCCAAATTTATTATTTTTCTAATTCGAAAGTCTTATCACACCTTACTTATGTGAAAAAATCAATTTGAAATTGTTATTAGTTTTTGAAGAAATTCAAATTCAAATTTTAGAACCACTCTATTTTTAAATTGTTAAGCTGCCAAAAAAAGCCTCTTTTTCTCGAAACTGCTGTGAAGGGGGGAAAAAAAGGCATTTTTTCAGCTTATGGCAAAGTAGTGCTACCTTTTTCCGAGTAAAGTTAATGGAATCCAAGCAAAAATGTTTGTACTCGTGTCTATGGTATAGTGGTAGAGCACTTCAGTGTTTTATGCAGATGAAATGAGTTTGATTCACTTGTGGGGAGAAAAAGCCAACTTGTTTCGCGCGCTCTTATGACCTTATGCAGTTGCGAGCGCCGCAAAACCCCATACTAAACTAAACTTGTGGGGAGAATTGTTATTTAGTGTAGCATCTCGGTGTTTGTCCTGGAACAATGCATTCCCCTCGGCCTAGGTGGGTGGTTGGCAGGTGCTCTATCGTCCTTCTCTTTTCTACTTTTTTGTGTTTGTTACACTCTTGTAACACCGCTAATCTTCGGTACTTACATGACCGTATTATATTGCAAGTTCTGTAATACTCCTACAAAAACTAAACCTCAGCCTAGGCTGGCCCTGAAGGGAAGCGTCGAAGCAGTCTGCCTCTTAAATGATCCTAATTGTGTCGATGGGACTGAACACTTACAGTACTGAAGGTTCATATAGTGAAAGACCCTCAAGTACTGCGCTAGTTTAGAACGCTGAAGCTGTTATAGAATTTTTTAAGATTTAAAATAACCTTGGCAGCCCAAGAAACATGCTTTAAAATTCATGGGGGTTTATCGACCATTCAGCTATCATATAGTGACTTCCTTTGGTATTTACTTCAGTGCACTGGGTCTGTAAAGTAAAGTTGTTCCCGCATCCGATCCGGACATTGGGGATTGCCTTGTTAGTGAGACAACTTCCTGGACCTTCGGCATATTGTGGTAGGGTGTCTGTAAGTTGTTTAATTATGTTTAGTCTGCCTGGTTGAGTCGGCGACTTTAGGGAATGAGCGCATACTACAGCCTGGCGACTACTGTGACCAACAGTACTGTGAGTGTTGAAACATCATGTGCGGTTACATTTTTTCTTTTTTTTAAACAAATATTTTTTTAACCCCTTTGTGGCTTATATGGCGTACACCGCTCGACATTTTTTCTTATTTGGCAAAGGAGCTAAGTTGCTTCTACGACGTACAACATTCATCATGCCCTGTGAAGTACAAAGACCATGATCACGAACGCTGTTCATCATAGATTGTTTTTTGCACACTGCACTGCGCGCGCTCATATGACCTTATGCAGTTGCAAGCGCCGTAAAACCCCTTACTAAACTGAAACACTGCACTGCTTCTATTAGATGCACTTTGTAAAACTAACTACTGATTTTCCACAATCAGCTATATTTTTTTCTGTACAAAGAAATCTTTTCCTTTTTTAGAGTTTCCTTTTCTTCGCTGTTTCGTTGAGTTTTCTGTAACACCAAACATTTTGTCATATCATCGTCTCAGACTCAGAACTGTTTTGTCCAAAGTGCACTTAAGTAAAGACGCACTTTCGACATAATAGTTTTGAGGAGACGATATGGTGAAAAGATACCATTTTTGTGCTTTTAAAATGTAACAACTGATTATATTCTCCTTGTTACCTCAACGGGTACTTCACTTTACCATTATTACTGGGAGTTATGTTTAGAGTTATTGGTTTTATTCAAGTTTATTACCTGAAATGTTGTTTAGCATTTGGATATAATGCTGGGTGGTATTGCTATAGATGTTGATTTGAAGGGGAGGAAGCTCCTTTTTTGCATTGCGTGCAACTCATATTTAATGTTCAGCACATTCGAACAGAATGGGTCTATTTGATCGTATACGTATGAAATGCTTAAGATGCAGGGACGTCAAAAATTTTTTCGATATCATTGATCAAAATGCGATTTTAAGTTTTGTGAAAGAAATTGGGTTGTTTGATGATATATAGTTATATAAATATACACCCTAAAATTTGTATTGTAAATATGCACGTAAATAAAACTTTTACCACATTTACAAAGATTTATTATACATATCTGTTCGTAATTTTAACACAGTGCTAGATTTGTGATGATAAAGCGTTTATTTTCACTTATTTGACCAAAACCTTGAAGATACTGCTGTAAAACACCTACTCAGTCGATCAGTAGATGTTAATTTATTCTAGATGCAGTTTTTTTGGTGCTACTTCTATTCTTTTCCGCTGTTGTTTTTGTCTGTCTTACTTTTACCCAGACAGCACTAAGTGACCATTATTGTGTCGATGTGCTTCTCTTTCCTTCAACAAACAAGCAGTTTTGTGCTATCAGTGACTGGAGACAAATGGGATGGCGAGCTAGCACAGAACTGTGCGTTCTCCCCCCCCCCCAAAAAAAAGATATCTAAGCTGGACACTATCAGAGCATGGTGTTTGTTACTGGTATCGATATATTTGATTTCCGATTATCATTACCAATATCATCCAACATTTTAACTTGCTTTGCATTTTAATGATTGGGGTTTTGGCAGTGTCATTTGAAATGAATATGTGTCACTCAGTTTGTCAATTGACTCATCCTGGTAAATAGTTTTTAAGACCTTTATATTTATAGACATAGTACAGAGACATTTTTGTCGAGAGAAATGTAGCCATTGGATGGTATTTGCAATCAATTTGTATAGATATCGTTAAAATGTGACCGCCTATGCACGGTCGAACCTGTCCAAGACAACTACTCTCAAGGGAGAGGAAGCTCCTTTTTGCGTGGCGTGCAACACATAATAATATTTTACTGTTCAGCACATTCTAACGAAATGGGTCGATTTTGACAGTGTGCATCCGAAATACTTTGGATGCAGGGACATCAAGGATCTTTTTGATGTGGTTGATACGTGAAAGATTTTGGGCTTGGTGAGGGAGATTGGATTGCTTCGTGAAATATAGTTATGTGTCACGACGTGGTGGGATCAGGCGCTCGTTAATTTCTGAGCATATGTGGTTATTGGTACCATCTTAAAGCCTGTTCATTTACCTTCCTTTTGGTGAGAAAAAAAATATATCCTTCTGTCTTGAATAGAAGTCAAGATGTTTGTGATTGTAGGTCAGGGTTGCCTGGTTTCAGAGGTAAAATTAGTGAGAAAATGGCCCTGGATACTGAAAATTTACATTTTCTGTACCTTTAAGCAATGTTTTTCAGTAAAATCCACACAAAAAATGTGTTTTTAAATGGACATTAAAGGTTGTGAGCCAAAAAAAGAGAATTTGAAAAAAAAAGCCCATCTGTCCAAAAAAAATGCTGATTTCTTTGATTTCAGTATTTTGATGAGTGCTTGATTTCACCACGATGCCCATATATATATACATATATATACATATATATATATATATATATTTTTATATATATATATAAAACACTCACTGAAATTGATGTTGTAAATACGCATGTAAATAGTTACAAAGATTCTATAAATGTCTGTCTGTCCTTGTAACATGGTGCTAGATTTGCGGCGATAAAACTTTTTAGCACTTAAATGAACAAAACTGAGTCGATAGTGCCATAAAACATTTACTCAGTCAAATCAAATAGAGACAACTACCCTTTTTTCAGGAGAAAAGTGGTCCTCTTAGACTGGTAGTCACGTCTTGGACACTGTCGTTATAGTATTTTTTTTTTAAGGGGAGGGGGGGGGGGTCGCATAGAAGTAGTCATTGGAACAGGTGATTGTCTTGTGCAGGTGGTCATGTTAGAGTTAGAGTAGGTCTTGACCTGTATTAACAAACCCTGTATGGGACTGAGACACAGAAATGTTACCAGTACTCCGCTTCTGCAGTTCTCTTGTCCATTTTGAAGTTTAGTAGATTGGGCCTTCCTCTTTACCTTGTGCTTAATTTTTGTTTCTCTAGGCCATGCTGGAGTACAACGCTGTGGAGCTCCTGAGTGAACTCAGCCAGTCCCAAGACGCTGCGCTGCGCTTCAACGCCACATGGTGCCTCATGGTCAGTTCTCACATTCGGCGGGAAAATCTTTAAAAAGACAAGCTATTCCTTCCTATTACACTGTTACACCAGTGTCTATAGTGTAGTGGGTAGGCACTTTGCTGTTACAAGCAGGAAACCCTAGTTGGGATCCCGAGTGGGGAGAATTTTTATCAGTATCTCGGTCTCTCTGCTGGGATGTTGTATCCCTCTCCGCCTGGGTTGACCCTGACAGACAGAGTCAGAGGCCTACCTAGTAAATTATCTAAATTGTGTCGATGTGGGCCTTAAAACACTTATGTTTTAACCCCCCCCCCCCCCCCCCCCAACAAAAAAAACAAACCAGCAACCTGATTAGAGCATAAGACCACCTCCATGTTTACCTGCCTGCCCATGTATGTGTTGAAGGTGTCTCATTTTTTTATGTCAAGTGTCTGTCCTCTGCTGAATGATTTTATTTGAGAGCCTAGTAGCTTTGTTCTCTATTTCAACTTTGCATCAATCAGTAGTAAATTTGTAGGTTTACTCACTTATGTTCAGATGGTGACAAAGTAGTGTCTGCCACAACTTAAACAGTGTTTTAGAAAATTTTATCATTTGTGCCTGATTTCATTGTTCACCAAAGTGTGCTGTTCTCGTGGCTGTCATGACAGATTACTAGACATGCTGCTAGAGTGGGTGGTTGGTGGGTGCTCTGGTGTGATTTGTTCTTTCTTTCCTATCAAACATCTGTCGTCCTTATCTCTCCTTCTTTTTTTGTATTTGTTACTCTCTTGTAACGCATCTATTCTTCGACACTTATACGACCTTATTGTGTTGTAAGTGCCATAAATTACGGTAAAACTCTTATTGTACTAAAACGAAAGAGATGCAACTCCAGTGCTTGTCAACCTAGGCGAAGTTGCCCACTTGTGAACAATTTGTTGGGCAATGGGGATCACCTGGTTATGGACAGGTCACTACCTTAGAATTACAAAGTTTTACCTAACATTTTTAGTCGTTTTGAGTTACTAAGACCATGAGGTTAGAAACTAATGTTCTATCTGCTCTATCAAAATCATAACATTATTTGGAGTCGCTATAAAGATATTCAAAGAATTGCATTAATAAAAAGCTTGACATGTTGGGAAACTCAACTTTTTTTTTAGCATCAAATTTCTGAAAACTAAGTACTGAGCGGATAGAACTCTCCAGTTCTAGGGTGTCGGGGTATTATTTAATACGCAGCTTGCAAAAAACATTTAAGTGGGCGGTACGAAAATTTAGCCTCACGAAGTCGGCGAAAGCTGACGATGATAAAGGTTGGCAAGCACTGAGCCTCTCAAATGACGCAGAATTGAGGTTTCTAGTAGTAGTTTCCCAGCTTGCTTGTGATCTACAGTCGCTGGCCTATGGCAGCGGGGAGCAGCTGCGGGTCAGCCTCATCTCCTGTCTGACCGCTGACGTCCTGGTGCCGCGGCTGGAGGACGAACTGGTCACCATACGGGAGAAGGCCCTGGGCATTGTCCGCAACCTGCTGACTACCAAACATGTGGGTTTGTCCCTAGGACTGTTTACATTTGTTCATATACTTTTTACATTTGTTCATATACTGTTTACATTTGTGTTGTCCAGTCCCAGGACTGTTTACATTTGTTCATATACTGTTTACATTTGTTCTTATACTTTTTACATTTGTTCATATACTTTTTACATTTATGTTGTCCAGTCCCAGGACTGTTTACATTTGTTCATATACTGTTTACATTTGTTCTTATACTTTTTACATTTGTTCATATACTTTTTACATTTATGTTGTCCAGTCCCAGGACTGTTTACATTTGTGCCCCAGGACTGTTTACATTTGTTCATATACTGTTTACATGTATGTTGTCTAGTCATATGACTGTTTACATTTGTGTCCTATAACTGTTTACATTTGTTCATATACTGTTTACATTTATTCATATACTGTTTACATTTGTGTCCAGTCCCGGGACTGTTTACATTAGTTCATATACTGTTTACATTTGTGTCTAGTCCCAGGACTGTTTACATTAGTTCATATACTGTTTACATTTGTTTCTAGTCCCAGGACTGTTTACATTTGTTTCCAGTCCTATATAACTGTTTATATTTGTGTTCTAGTTCATATTTGTGTCGTGGTTGGTTGGAGGGCGCCACTGGTAGGTCCTACTTCTTTTCTTACCCCTTTGTTGTTTCTGTCTGTCTGTCGTACTTTTTCCCACCATTAAATGACCATTATAGTGTTAATGTGCTTCTCTTTACTCAAACAAACAAACACATTAATAATTGTGTCCTAGATCAGCTTACAATTTTGTCCTGTCCCAGGACTGTTTACATGTGTGTCTTAAGTGAGTACTATTTATTTGTATCCCAGTGCTGTTAGCATTTCACGTAATGTCTACCTTTAGTGTAATGTTAGAAGCTTGATTGAAATGCTTTACAATAGCAGAAGGCATGCTTACTATATATGTGAACAAAGATATATACTACAGATGCTGCTTCTTCTTTCCTATCAAACGTATATCGTCTTTATCTCCCTTCCTTTTTTGTGTTCGTTACTCTCTTGTAATACCTCTAATCTTCGGCACTTATATGACCTTATTGTGTTGCAAGTGCTGTAAAACACTTACTAATGCTAAAAAAAAAATTAATTTAGATGTAATAATTTATCTTTGAAATTGTAATTTTCTGGTCACTGTAAAGTTTCTTAATTTCCCATCTCATAAGTCAGAGCTTTTTGTTTAACTGTTCGTGAAGTTCCCACATGCCGTATGTCCAACTTGTAAGGCCATACTCTGATGAGATTTTACAACTGCATTGCAATAGCTTTGAATAGAAATTTACTAGAAAAATGACCAATGAAAGATTCGAAAAATCTGACAGAAAATGTTTGTATCGTGCCAATCTTTAATTTTGAAGAGGGCCACAAAATGGCAAACTGCTCCGTGTTGGCTAGCAAAAACTGGGCAGAAAGTCAGTTACATTTAATTAAGGTATGCCAAAATATCGCATGGAGGTATTAACACTACAGGAGAAGCTATGCGGGCCAACAGAAGAACTAAGCTGGACAACCAACTATGACAGATATCAGGCTTCTTCAAGTGTGATACGATTGATAGGAAGAAAAGATCACAGGGAGATGAAAGAGGGTGGTTGGGGGGTGCTCTGGTGTGGTTTTCTCCTTCTTTCCTATCAAACATCTGTTGTCCTTTTCTCCCCTCCTTCTATTTTGTGTTTGTTACTCTCTTGTAACACCTCTAATCTTCGGCACTTCTATGACCTTATTGCCGCATTATTGCGTTGCAAGTGCCGTAAAACTCTTACTAAAACTAAAGGGAGGTGAAATGTAGAAACTTGACGGTGACCTTGTGACGTGTACGATTTGTATCAGTTGCTCACTGCTTGTCTCAAGCAGGCTGTCCTCACTCCTCATGTAACAATTTTTCACAAACCTCGCCAGTCGATCGACCACGCCGTGAAATCACTGGGCAGCAGCGTGATCGAAGCCGTCTTCAACAACATCCGGAATCCCAGCATGCCGCCGGAGGTCATTGAACAAGTAGGTCACTCGTGGGTGCTTGGTGGGTGGTGCTGTGTTGTGGTTTGCTCCTTCTTTCCTGTCAAACATCTATCGTCCTTATGTTTCCTCCTTCTTATTTTGTTTGGTAGTTACTTTCTTGTTATATGACATCATCTAATGATATTACACCATCAAATAACATTACATCGTGGGTGGTTTGGGGATGCTGTGCTGTGGTTTGCTCCTTCTTTCCTGTCAGACATATATCATCCTTATCTCTTCTCCTTTTTTGTTGTTTGTTACTTTCTTGTTATATGACTTCGTCTAATGACATCACTCCATCAAGTGTCATTACATCAGGGGGGGTATTTTTTTGGTGAAGCACACAGAGCACTTTCTTTGTGGAAATATTCAATGAAAATGAAATACATTATTACTAATATGATTATCATTATTATTATGAGTTAATATTATCGGTTTTGGTATTTTTCCTCCAGGCTCTGTGTGTTGTGAGTAACATGGTGGACGGGCCATCTTGTAAGGCTCACATCATCAGCAAAACGGAGGATATCAACTCAGTCTTACAACATTTGGTAAGTTCTGTGTTCTGTTGTGCCTCATACACGTACTGTGGGCTTATCGTTGTCAGCACTATTTGTGCTTTTGTTGTAGTGTAAAGATGTGGAGCAAGGTGGGTGGTGTGTGCCACGGGTAGGTTCTACTTCTCTAATCTTCCTCTGTGTTTTTCTGTCTGTTTGTCTTACTTTTTCCCAGCACTAAGTGACCATTATTGTGTTGATTTGCTTTTTTTTACTGAAACAAACAAACAGAGGTGATGGGTGGGGAGCTGGCTGATGATTCATTAAAACTGGATTTGAAGCACAGTTGAAATTGTCAAAGATAGCTATTTATTGTCAAGGAGAAACGTGTCTGTTTTTGGTGGACGTCTTTCACTGTGTCATTGTGGTGTAAAAAAATTACAATGGGAAAATGGAAAATGGCCGTTTGTACAGGGTAATGTCTTATTCAGGTGGCTATTAAAGCAGAGTTGACTGTATAAGTACAGTCGAACCTGTGTAAATGGCTACCCATTGTCAAGGAGAAAAGTGTCCGCATAACACAGGTCGCCGTCTAAGGCAGGACTGTTAAAAATGAAGAAAGCAAACCATTCCCTTCTGAGGTCCAATCCGGGCTGAATTCATGCTTGGGACTGCCGTTAGGCGAATTCAAAAGGGTTTTTGTTTTCTTTTGAAAAAGGGGGTATAGGGGTGTTAGGTTTTTTGTTGTTGTTTTGTTGGTTTGTTTTTTGGTTAGCTTTTTTCTGTTGCTGATTCTTTGCAAGGGTAAAATAAACGAATGTATGACGACGAAGACCGAGTGCCATGGTAAAACAAAGACTGGGTCGCCACCACTCGGAGAACGAGCGACACTTCTGTAGTAAGTTCACGTTAACATCCATTGTTACTTTGCTACAGATTAAGTAAACAAAACAGTGACCAGTCACCTCACATATTACAATTTGTGCAAGAGTTGTGGGCGGGGCTTATAGGTTATGACGGATCAGGCTTCCGTCACCGGCAGTTGAAAATTTGTTGTTAGGCCTACCCATTGGTCAACTTGGGTAAACATTCTTTGGAGGGACTAACAACAACAACAGGTGAATGGATTATGACGGCCTGTCCACAACGTTAGGGGCCCATTAAAAATTTATATGACAAAGCATCGGGCCTGTGACCACGCCTGACGGCCTGAGGCAGGTAAATTTGACCGTAGGTTGATAAAATAAGGTGGCCGCGGCTGCGTTGGAAATGTGACCGTTTTACACAGTTAAATTATAAAGAAAAAACGCAAGGGGGAATTTTAAAGGGGCCGATTGTACAGGTGGCCGTCATGGCAGGTTCAACTGTGGTTTAACATCTAGTGGTTTCTCTCAATCTCTGTCTCTTTGTCTCTCTGTCTCTCTGTCTCTCTGTCTCTGTCTCTCTCTCTCTCTCTCTCTCTCTCTCTCTCTCTCTCTCTCTCTCTCTCTCCCCCTCTCTCTCTCTTCCTCCCCCTCCTTGTCCCTCACTCTCTAGTGTGTCTGAGACCAATGATATTTCCTCCACTTACAGAAGTCAGACAATGAGGATCTCCAGCTGCCTGTCCTGCAGTTCATCAGCAATCTCATCCACACCATAGACGATGGTAGGTGACCTTGATTGAAACTGTCAGTAGTACCGTAAAAACACAGTCTCAGTCAAAAATATGTTTATTTCTTTGCCATGTTTCCCGGTATTGTATTATCAGAATTGTGTTTTTGCTCGCTTTGAATATTGTCCCAGATTATGTAGAGGTGAAGGACATGAAAAAACTTTTTTATCAGCATCATCATCATCAGCAGCAGCTTTTTCACCCTGTACCGGAGCATAGGCCGCCAACAAAAGCTTTCCATCCACTTCTGTTCGTCTGTATCCCAACTCCTGTACTCCAGTAGATCAGAATTTAACTCATTCGCTACGTATTATTTTTCGGCTTGTGGACGAATTTTTTTCTGGAGGGCGAATGAGATGATGACTAGTGCGCAGTTAAAAGGTCTTTGGGGCCACAAATTCAAATAAATATCAATGTATTATATACCAATATTTTCAATATGGTTTGTAGAATACATCTGTAACGTTTATTTATGTATTTTTCAACTTTGGTTCCTGTAAGAGGCGATTATGCAACACAGTTTCGATTGGATGCGTATAAAATTTGAAAATAAAAAATAAATGTTCTTTGGTGAAACTCAAAAAATATGTTTGCACCTAGTCAAATGATACGTCAAAATAACCAGAAATGAATATAGAACTGGAAAATTAAATATTGAAAAGTTTGCAGTTATTTACATACATTCCATAATATTTGTACTTTTGGATCATAACATCCGATATTGAAAAAAAATAAATTTTTTTTATAATCTTGAAAAACGATCACAAACAGAAAAAACCCACTCGTATCTTATATGGAATTATTCAGAATTGCTTTTGGAATAAACCTATACATGTCTTGAGTGGCACTTTTTGTGTAATTTCATCAAAAAGTAGTGATTTTGGGGAGAAAAAAATATTTTGACAATTTAGATCTAGACCTAGATCTAGATCTGGCACTCAAAAATATTGATTTCTCAATAACAGTGCATTGGCAATATGAGTCCAATGGTATCAATATTATAAAAAAGAGCCCTACACTTCTTTAGTGGGCAAAATAATGATAGATTTTGTAGTGTAATATTACTAAGACCGGTGTCCGGGCTATAATTTTGGCATTGCGATAAAACAAAGTCGAATAAACTACGAAATAGCGTTTCAAAACTGAATCTAAACTTCCGATTTTCATTGGAAATGCTTGACCCGGAAATCAACATTTTATTATGACCTTTATTTTAACATGGATATGTGGATTGGAATAGAATCTAAGCTAAAATTGAAGATCGGTTGTCAAGCCGCTTGGGGCGGCTTAGTGTACTGACGGCACTTTAGCCGCGCCGCCCCCCACGGCTCGGCGTAGCGAATGAGTTAAGTCCCTACCCAAAGTTTTTTTTAGGTCTTCCTTTCTTTTTCTTTCCTAGTGGGTTCCAAGTTATGGCTTAGTGGGTAATGAAACTTTTATCATCAAAAAATGTTAAGTCTTCAGTACTGGTTGTTTCTTCTGTGGACTGGTAGGCTTCTGTCTTCTGTGGACTGGTAGGCTTCTGTCTTCTTTGTGGTGCTCGATATAGTGTTAGTTTTTTAGCCCTTTGTCTCCAGAATATAATTTTGATTGATCAGAATGGAGCAGAGGGTCATTGACACATGTTTCTACGAAAGTGTCGTATACCTCAGTAGAAAGAGAAGAGAATGTGAGATGACATTCTGTAAACTGCTGCACCAAAATGCCAGTCAAATTGTAATCTAAGGCAAGTAATACAAACCAGACAGAAAACAAGCAGCACAAATAATCTGTCAAATTTGAAAGTTTTTATACCTGAGAAAATTTTTTATCATTGTTGAGAGTTTGGGCAAAAAAAATGTGACATCGTTTAATTATGTACTTGGTTATTGCAAATAGAAAAAATCCCAAAACTGATGGGTTACTTTTTCTGGGATTCACTGTTTGATAAAGGAGTTTGAAGGTAAATGAGTAGATCCATCATGTCTGTGCTCTGCATGTGGCAGTAATTTAGCTGAAACTACTATAACTTAGAGAGATTTTTTATTTACAATAATCAGGATGAGAAGGACTTGCTCTCTTTATATCAAATGTTTATATAAACTCTCTGGTGATGTTTTCTTGACCTCAAAAAAACAAAACCATTTGTGAGACACTGGTGAAATCGGGCGCTCGTCAAAAAAATGAAGTTGAAGGACAGGTAGTTCTTCCATTGAAAGCAAGGCAAATGAACAAACTTTCAAATGATTCCAATAACTGCACGTGTCCAAAAATTTGATGGCCGCCTGACTCTACTGCATCGTGACATTTTCCTTGTTAGGTTTTAAAAAAATAATAGTATTTGAGTGTGTTTGCGTATATGTGTGTGTATGCGTGTGCTTCTCACTTACTCCTAAGCACATCGTCGGTGCTGCAAACAATCCACTTAAGTCTGTGTGGGTACTTTTCACGTCAGAGAAAAAAACAACTAGTTTTTGTTGTGTTGCTCCGATTAAGAATTTTGAAAAAGCAAGGAAAGTGTAAGCCTTGACCATAGCAGCATGCTGCATTTTGGTGTGGGATGCTGAAAGATTCATCTGTGATAGAGCTTAAAGAGGGTATACTTACTTTACTTTACTTTTTCGATCCAGCGGCCATTTGAATTCTAGCCCTTCGGCCTGCTGATATGGCAAAGAATTTACAGGTTTTTATCAGCTGTGCTTTGTAAAGAGGGTGTAAAAATTGAAGAAATTTATCAAAATTTGGACTTAATGGATTGGTTTGCGTCAGCGAGGACGCTCTATCTAGTGGTTCTATCTAGTGGACATGTTGTCACTGTCGTTGTCATGCAGACCACGGCTCCTTCCCTCGCGCAGGATCCTACCAGAGGATGCTGACCTTGAAGAGCATGGGCGTGCCGCAGATGCTGGAGAGCTTGATCGGGACCAGCACCGCTGAGGTGGAGAAAAGGTAATAATAGTAATAATTATAATAGTATTAATGTGATAATGATGATAATAATAATAATAGTAAGAAGCATTTATCCTGCGTATTTCCATTTTTTTTAGAATGCTCAATGCGCGTTACATTCATGAAAATATAACATTTTAAAAAAATTAATGGATGTATGTGTGTACTAGTGTGTGTAAGACATAATAATATTTGTATATATTATATGCATAACAAAAATTTTGGAGAAAATTAGTCGTGCAGGGAGCCAGGCAATGCATGGGCTGAAAAAAAAAGTAGAATACAATAAAAACTCACTTAGAGTCACAATAAAACAAAAACATGAAGGATAAGAGACAGAGGCATAGCTACAGATGCACGTCCACTACTTAGCAGACTCCACCCTTTATGGGTGGGCCGTTTTGAAAAGTGACGCATGGCAGAGTTTTACTCTGAGCAGTCGAAATTTTAGGCTGGTTATTCTTACAAAAGCAATGATAGATCTGTTTCGTGTATCCAAGATTGGGGTCTTTTTTTTTTTGGCAATGGGTGATTGGTGGATGCTTTAACTGATTCCGTCCAGCGGCTCTGGGTTTTTCCGCTGCCTCCATTCGACCGCTATGAGCGGCTAGACGAAATTCGAGCGAAATCCGAAACGAATGTGCGTGTTTTAACATACTTCCTACATTTTAAGTTGACAAAAGGAAGTAGAACTTGTAAACAAGCCTGACCTTAATCTCTGAGCGCCAAAATCGATCGAAACTCCACGAAATTCTTGCAAAAATTATTTTGTTGTAGCTAAGTTACGGTAAACAATATGTTGCCTAGTATAAAGATATTCAACTAAATTTGGGAAATTCTTTCATAAAAGTGTGCTAGGGTGATATAGCTACCAGTTTGTGTTGATTCCTATGGATTATGACTTGTAGAAGTGAGAAATGGAGGTAAGTTGAAGTTTTCGAAGAGGTGTTGCGCAATTTTTTTTTCTCATTCTTTTTTGTATGAGGGAAAATACAATACAATCAGAATATAGGTCATTGTAATTGATATAATCATATTCTTCTATTTATTCCCTTCAGTTTGGTATATGACAATAGATATTAGAGTAACGTAGAGCTTCACAGTGATGCATTAACTCTTTTTATCTGGGCTGCGAATATACTCGTAACAAGGCCCAGTCTGGGCTACGAGTAAACTCAGAACAGCGTTACGGTCACGTCAAAGAAGCTAATTCTGCTTGCAATTACCAGAATACGCAAGTGCGGCGTGCTAGCCCTGTCTGAATATTTATTTTTGATAGGTGTAGAAGCTTGAAAGATGTCTTGAAAACGCACGTTCACGACCGACGAAGTACTTTTTGAAGTGGCGCTGGGTTGTGAGGGGGAACGGTAGGCCTACTAATTTGATGAAAGTGACTCTGAATCAAGTGGTGTAAATTCCATTGTGAATGATAACAAACAGGACTTAAGCTCATTTAATAGCGATTCAGATCATGGTGAAGGGGTCAGTACTGGAATTTGTGCTGTTTCGATTGGTAGGGCTAGATCTATCAAATCCAATGGGACGTTGTGTGCGCTGCAATCAGGGTCAAGGTGGAGGGTGGAATAAATACACTTCCAAATCTACATTCTGCAATTGGTGTAATTCCTAACCATGCACATTTACAAAAACTACATTCAATTTCTAACATAACTGCCAAATTTCCTTAAAACCAAAGAGTGAACATAAGAAACACAGCACTTTGAAATATACACCATGAATTCCAACTCATATATGATGCGGCAGCCCCAGGATGGGGAAGAGCACGGGGGTATGGCCAGGATACAAAGAGTTAAATAATGCACCCCAGGTAAAAAATTGAACAGGGAAAAATAACTCTGTTCAGAGCCTGAAAAAATCATGGATGGAATCAGTTAATGTTGTTTGCTCTTTCTTTTCTATCAAACATCTATCGTCCTGTTCTCACCTCCTCCTTCGTTTTTTGAGTTTTGTTACTCTCTTGTTGTAACATCTCTAATCTTGGGCATTTATATGACCTTATTCTGCTTCAAGTGCTGTAAAACTCTTATTGAAACAGAAGCATAATTTGACAGACAAGCATGGTGGCTAGACAATGTGAGATTTTGTTAGGGACGGTGTTTTTAAGTTTTAAATTCCCAACCATCTGTGGTGTATATCGTCAACCTCTATCCCTTTCTCACAAAAGATGTGAATTTGATTCTCATAGGTAATAATTGCCAGCAGGGAAGAAACTTAATAAAATGTCTCCATTCTCAGTATTTTGCTTCATTTTACTGAAATAAATGTGAGGCAGCGTGGTGAAATCAGGCGCTCGTCAAAAATAATGAAAGTCGAGAAACTGGCATTTTTCTGCAGGTTTTTTAATTGTTATAGAATTTTTGTTTTTTGGCTCCACACCTTTCATGCCCTTTAAAAACACATTTATGTGTGGATTTTACTGGAAATTGATGATTATAGGCATAAAGGATGTAAGTTTTCCGTTTCCACAGACTTTCAAGCTAGGAAATCACTCAAATATGGCGGCCATTTTCTCGCTAATTTTACCTCTTAAACCAGGCAACTTCCACCTCCTTCAATCACAAATATCTTGAATTGTATTCAAGATAAATTGATATTTTTTTCATCAAAAGCAAGGCAAATGGACTGGCTTTAAGGTTATACATGCCGCAAAATTGATGAGCGCCTGATTCCACCTCATGCCACAAATTATCACGTTTTTCTCCACAGAGTCCATGAAACCCTCAAGTCTTTTGCTTGACACAGCGAAGGAAGATTCTGGTGTTGTGTGCTGTGAGTGACAGAGTCAGGAGACAGGATCTGGCAGTGGGACTGGCTGGCCCGCACAGACTGTGTGTGTGTATGTGTGTGCCTGTGGTTGGGCTTTGTGTGAGCTGTACTTGTGTGTGTGGACGCATGTGTATGTGTCTGCTAGTGAGTACATGTATATTGCCGGCAAGCTGTTAAATTGTTCTAAGCCCGCAAAGCAAAATTTTTATAGGAGAAAGAAAAAAACCATTCATTTTTTGAACAATTTATTATTACCGTACATGAATCTAAATTATGTTTGTTTTGTTTTTGCCAAATTATTTGCGGGGTCAAAATTTTTACAAATTGTTTCCAGAACACATGAACGATTCCACAGAGTGAGGAATTACAACAAAACCAAAATTTCGAAAGTTTGGGCTGAGTACATTGGAACAGCTAGCTGGTAATATACTTTTTGAGTATGGTTTACAAGGAGTTTGTTTAAGCATGAAAGAGAAACTTTTTGTAACAAATCAAGATTTATTTGTCAGCAAGAATTTTTATTGGGTGCTGTAGAGAGTGATGGTTGTATACTTTGAATGACATTTTTTTTCTGAATACAAGTGATGGTTGTGCATGTCATAAGTATGAAGAGGCAGTAATTAATTCATTTGCGTCATGCTCATTATCACGTAGACTGTATTCTTTCACTTTTTTATATTTGTTTTAAGTCCTTTGCTCTATTCATATCATTTTGCTTAAATGTCGTGTCTGATTTTGACAGCTTCTCCGCATCGGGGATTTAAGAACTTTTGAAAGACCTACACTCTAAAAAGAACAAACACCAATTTTAGGATTTACTTGTAACTGAACACAAACATCGGTTTTAGAACCTAAAAGTAACAAATATCAATTTTAGGAATTAGTTTAAAGGGAACTTACGTCAATTTTAGTATAGCCTCTCATCATAAAGAAATAGAATTTGAATACTTCTCCCAGTGATTATTTCTCTGTTCTCTATAGTCTCTCTTGTCAGATGCTTGTGTCGTCTCTACTCTGTCCATGGCGCCTTATTTTGCACTAGCATCTTCCTGCAAACTGGATTGGATGTGGTGATCACCACTCTTTATTTTTATTTCTGGAGGGGTTGGCTTGCCAGTTTTCTTTTTTTCATTTTTTTTTTCATCATGTTTGTTTTCTTAATCCATGCTGCCCTTGTAGCTAATGTGGAGTCATGTTCAGATTTGAATTTTGCTTCATCATGTAATTTATGTAAAGCCGACCAGCGTTTCTGGTGTAGTTTTGCACTTCATTGTCTCGCGCAGAAGGCATGAGTTTGATTCTTGAGTGGGGAGAATTTTTGTTAAGTATCTCCGACTTTCTACTGGTACATTGTGTCCCTCTTAGCCTAGATTATGGTCCTGACAGGTAGGGTTGAAGTAGCCCACCTCCTAAATGATCTAAATTGTGTAGATGGGGCGTAGAACATGTACATGTACAATGAGTCGCATGAGGTGTGCTGATGAAATGAGTTACTTCTTGCAATCTCGAAGTGGAGATATTGGCTAAAATCAACTCGTGTCAAATTTGTAGATTTTATATTGATGCCATATTCTTTAAGTATAACATGCCTTTTATTATTTCATACTTTAAAAATTGTAAAAACTTCCAACTACAAGCGTGATGTACCAATTTCCATAGGGCTCAAATTGGAGAAGCATCTCATTTTGTCAACACGCTTCACATATAACCTGTTAAGTACTTGGTGGGGGTTTGTATACTAAGGACAAATGAGTCTTCTGATTAGGCTCTCGAACTCTCGACCGTAAGGTTGTGATTTTGAAATCTGTCAGGGGTCTAATATGTTGTGTCCCGAATTTCTCAGGACACTCTTTGATTCGGCTCTCTGGGAATTTGAGAGGACATTATAGTAGCTTTGTCACAAACACTACTCAAAAACCAATCCCTCTTGATGTAGTTTTGTTTGTTGTTGCATAATCTAATGTTATAACTTGGGTGTAAGTTTCCAGGCCTGTTCTGCCGTAAGCTTAAAAAAATGTCTTTTTTTCATTTCTGGCACCAAAATTTTTTATTTACTCAATCGAAGGTTAAACTGTAAATAATTTTTTTATAAATTAGAATTCAAATTTTGGAAGAACGCCTTTTCTAAACAGTTTAACTGACAAATGGCCTCTTCTCAAAACGGCTCTGAATAAAAGAAAAGGTGTTTTGTCAGCGCACGGCAGTGTTGTCTGGTCTGGCAAGGGCATGTTCTCCACAGGGTTCCCTTTGCTTCGTTGTTGTGCTTTTCTCCTTGTGAAATATTGATTTATGTACGTTCCGTCCCTGTGCGACTTTAGACTGTTTTTGTGTGGCTGCGCTTCGAAGATTTCTGACCCATGTCTGTGGTGTAGCGGTTAGACGCTTTAGTGTCACATGCTGGAGACCTGAGTGCGATTCTTGAGTGGGGAGAAATTTTTATCTAGTATCTTAATCTTTCTGCTGGTATGTTGTATTTCTCTTAGCCCAGGTTGGCCCTGGCAGGCAAGGTCAGGCGCCCACCTCCAAAATTATGTAAAATTGTGATGATTCCCCCCCCCCCCCCCCCCCCCCCCACCACCGGGGGGTAATTTAAAGGGAGGCCAATGGTGGGTCCTCAGAACATATTAAAAAAAGAATTTTCCGGAAGGGAACGGCGTTTCTTAGAGTGGGGACCTTGTTTTTTAGCGGCCACCTTCCCATTTTGGAAAGACCTTTTTTTTTTTTCCCCCGCTTTGGCCCCGCCCGGAAAGGCCGGGCCCCCCCCCCCAAAATTTTTAAAATTTGGGGGGTTCCCCCCCCCCCCCCCCCCCCCCCCCACACTCGTGGGCTAGTTCAAGGGTAGTCGACTGCTGGTTCATCAACCTGCAGTGTAACTGATTTTTCCGTATGTGATCGTTTTTCCTACCTGGTAGGGCCCCTTGCTTTCAAGCAGCCACATTCCCATTTCGAAAGTACTCTTTATGTTTTTACACTGACTAGAGTATTTTCAATTTCAGTAGGAAGTAATTTTAAATTCTTCCCGGGTGGTGGCTGAAGCCTACTCTTATTTTTAGAACCACGAAGGGATCTTTAACGTGCGCAACTTGCACACGTGACCTCCGAGAAGGCTAGGTGTTCGATCTTACCTACCCTAAGATCAGGGGTGTGGTTGAAAGACAACAGTAAGAAGGATTCAGGAGAAACAGTGCATGTAGAGCAAGTCGGGCGTAAAGAAGAGAGGAGGCCAGGGATTACGAGGGAGAGGGAGGGAGGGGTAGAGTGGAGGTGAGATGAAAGCAGATGACAGAACATGTCCAGAGTACAGGAAAGGGGTTTAAAAGAGAAATAAGAGTTGACATTTTTTTTCACCGCTGTCGGGTTTTGGTCTGGTCCCAGGACCTATTGAATGAGAAGCAAACTCTGTAACCTCTTGACCACGAGAGCCTCCCACACCTTCATGGACTGTGTCTTACCAAGTTCTTGGTATATTTTAACATTTTAACCTCTGATGTGGCTTGCTCCTTCTTTCCTATCAAACATCTATGGTCCTTATCTCCCCCCCCTTCTTTTTCTGATTTTTACTCTCCGGAAACACCTCTGATCTATGGCACTTATATGACGTAATTGTGTTGCAAGTGCCGTAAAAAGCTTACTAAAACTAATCACTTTTTCTAAAATTTAGGTAAATTCTTAACAAATTTGACCAATACATAATGTTTGGAACATATTCAAGTCACACAGGAAGGTGGAACTGTTTGCTGATATGATTTTTTTCCTTTTAATTTTGTGTAATCAGATTTCTGGGATTACTGACACCCCACCCCTCTCTTACCTTCATTTCTTTTTTTATATTTTGATGTTGTCATATATGTTGTGTGGTTTATTTTATTTTTATTTTTTTTCCATCCTGTACTAGCTTGATATTCATGTATAATTATAATCCTGTTGTTCTGGTCATTTCAGGCAAGGCATTTTTGTTGTCTTACTTTATTTAGTCTCCACTTTTTCTCATAGTCATTTTTGTTCACGCCTCGAGAAAATATTTTTGACTGTCAAAATGAAAACGTAACCAAGTGTTTGTCTCTTTTTCTGACTTACACATTTCATTTTGTTGTCAGAAGATGGTGTCATTTCCATGTCGGCAGCCATTGCTTGGGCTCTGGAACTAATGAGAACATATCGTCGACCAGCTATTCAATTGTTCTTTTAAACACTGAAAGCAAAACTTTTCGGGAGAGATTAGAAAACTTTCCATTCTTTTAAGAATATTTCCTTCATTATGTATCTTTTTTTGCCCTTTTCAGCGTTTAGAATTTTAATTTTGACCAAATATTTCTGAAGTGCATGCAATCAATAACCACAGATTTAGAAACAGCAATGTAGAGAATGTTCCAGATTTTGGACTTAACACATCTGAACAGCTGGCTGACGATGTATGGTATGATTAGTTTGGATGTGTCCTTAGAATAATAGAGGGAGAGCATTTTCAGTACCTTTAACTGTCACATGACAGCTTTCTTTGCTTTCATCATCATCATCATCGTCATCATCATCATCATCATCATCATCATCATCATCATCATCATCATCATCATCATTACTGTCAAGTGTAGAAGTGTCCAACTCTGGAAAGATTTGCGAGTGTGATTGTGTATATGTTTGTGTGATTGCTTGTTTATGTGTTTGTCAGTGGTGCCCAACCTGGACCCACCTCATTGCTGTTGATGATGGAGTTTTGATTGTATGAATGTACATTAATAAAGTGGAGTCCTCTTAAACCAAACATGGTTAATCCGAAAAACAGTTTTAAACAGAGAGAGTGCAGGTGGTTGGCGGATGCTCGGATGTGGTTTGCTCCTTCTTCTTATAATCAAACATCTATTATCCTGATCTCTCCTTTTTTTTTGTGTTTGTTAATGTTTTGTGACACTTTATCATCTTTGGCGCTTACATTACCTTATTGTGTTGAACTCTTACTGAAACTAAAATTGAAAGAGAAAATCCCCTTTTAATTGTTCTTCTATTTGAGCAACCTCTATAAAGCAAAAACCCGGATAAACAGGAATTAATCAGGCCGCCTCTCAGATTTTGGTTTAAGCGGACTCTATTGTATTTTATTGTGAATATTTATTGAGGAAAGGGAAAATGTGTTAGTGGAGATGAAATCTGGACGACGTGTTTTTCTATGAATAAAGTGTTTTGACCCAAGTGTCTTGTTTGTGCTGTTTGTTTTGGCTTGTCTGTTACATATATATATATATACATACAGTCTTGCATGTGTACTGTGAAATCTGTAAGACCAGTGTTTGTGATGTCATGTAGCGATTAGGCGATTCGCTGTTGCATGCCAAAGGCCCGAGTTCATTTCTCAAGTGGGGAAAAAATGTTTATGGAGTAATATCTAGCCCTA